CTCAGACTAACTCTCAAGTTACCCTGCCTGTTTTCAAATTCCGGTTTGACTGTGTGATGGTGGGTAAGTAACTTTACCTATCAGTGGCTCAGTTTCTTCACCTGGAAAATGGGCACAGTGGCTCCCATCTCATGAGGTGGTTGTGAAGACCTACTGAGTCACTGAACACAGTGCCTGCCAGGTGGAAAATGCTCACCTATATGTACTAGCTGTTACTACTTATTATTGTTGTTGTTGTTCTAGGCTTTTTAAGAGAAACAAGGAAGGAAAAAGAAATTTTGATTTGTGTTTTTTTAGGTGAAAACTTTCCTTGCAGCTCTTTCTCTTCCACTCTTCTATTTTCCTCTATGGAGACTGGAGAAGGGAGCTGTTCTTTGAACTTATTTACCTCCCAGTGTCCTCCTGGTCCCCAGCCCTGGTCAGGCGCTGGGCTGCTCCCCTCATCCCACCATGAGACTGGTCCCGTGGACTTGCTTGTGAGTGGAGGCACTCAATACCTGCTGTTTCTGCAGACTTTTCTGGAGCACATCTGCAGCCTTCTCCTGTCTCTCTGGCTTGGATGCTCTAAGGCTCCCCCATCTCTCAGTGCAGCTGGAAGGTATCTTCCTTAGGGTGCTTGGAAAATCATTGGGAATTGAGTTGAAGAGGGGTGGCCCTGTGACTCCGTGGCATCTCCACCACAAACCTCAGGCCCCCAAAGTGAGGCCAAAGAAGAACTTCCTTGTCCACTTTTGGTGTCCATTCCTTTCTCCTCCCTTGGGAAAGGGACTGGCATGGAGGAGAAGTAAGGAGTGGGGTAGACAGACCAGGACCTCTTGGGTTAGCCTGCCTGTGTTTGAATCCTGCCTGGATTTTAACTGTATTGCTGTGACATTGAGACTCAGTTTTCTCACCTGTAAAATGGGAGTAATAATAACAGTTCTAACTTTTTGGGATTATTGTAAGAATTAAATGAGACAATGCCCAGCACATCATAAGTTATAAATAAATAAGTTACCAGTACTTCCTAAAGGGTCAGAATCAAAAGAGCCCTTGAAGGCTACTTAATCCTTGCACAGAGAGGGGCAAGTTTTGCCCTTTATCACACAGCAAGTCAGAATATGTGATAGTAACCCTGAGGCTGAGGATGGGTGGGTGAGTAGTCAGAGTTCTAGTGAATGCCAGGAATAACCCTAGGAGCATGCGGTGTTACCCTTGTGTGGAACAGGATGGTTAAGCTGTTGAATATGGAATCAGAGATGGCGCTCAAATTCTACTGCTGCTTTTCTATCCTGCTTTTTCCAGCTCTGTGCCCTTGGACAAATCTCTTCACTTCACTGAATTTGAATCTTCATTTTTAACCCTTACATAGCATTGCTCTTACTACCTAACATGGCCGTGTATATATTTACTAAGATTTGTTTGTTGGTCATTTGCTGTGAGCCAGGTATTGGTATCACTGTGGTGATGAGACAAATAAGTCCTTGTTCTCATGGAGCTTCCCTTTGGGTGGTTGGAGACAGACAATAAAAATGGAAACAGATAAGTCAATATGGACAAGGGCTCTGAGTGAAATGGAACAGAGAATGGTAGAACTAGCCTGGGGAGGGTGGTGTGACATTGAACAGCATGGCCAGGGAAGGTCTTTCTGAGGAGGTGAACTTGGAGTGGCATCCCAGGAGTTTAAAAGCCACTATGGAAAGTTCTGGCCAAAGTGGTCTCCAGGAAGACCTGAAGGGAACAGCCAGTGCAAAGGCCCTGGGGCAGGAGCGCACTGTGTTAGAGAGGAGCAGTAAAGAGACTTGGTGGCTGGCAGGCTGTGATTAGAGGAGGGAGGGAGGGATGGTCAGCAGGGGCCAGATCATGTTTCCCTTGTAAAGAGGCTTGATATTAAGTGCGTCGGAGATCCACTTCAGCAGGGAAGAGTCAGAATTACCTACATGTTTTTAAATATCCTTCTGGCAGATGGGTGGAGGAGAGACTGGTGGGGGCAAGAGGCTGTTGAGTAGTACAGACAGGAGGGGATGCCAGGGTGGTGAGGAATGGAACAAGATAATGTCACAGACTCCTCCTGCCTGGCCTGGTATAAGCCTGGAGAATGGAACTGAGCTGAGCTGAGGTTTCCAGCTCCTGACAGCTGCATCTTGGAGCTTGGGTCATGAGAGGGGGCAGTGTGATGCTGAGGATCAAGCAGGAGCTGTGGCAGACCTGGCCTTGAGGGTGGGGTCTCTCTCTCTCTCTCTGTTTCTTTCTCTCTCTCTCAACTGCTGCTGCTATTACTCCCCAAAGACTTTACATAATTCTGGCCCGACTCCCTCCTCATTATGTCATACACTGAGTGGAGTCTAGGTCACTCTGTGGCTTGCTGCGGTCGGTTGGGGGAGAACAGACTTCTGGCTCCTTTAGCAGCGAGGCAGTGGTGCAGACCCTCCCCATGCTGGGGTGGGGGTGGCTAGGCTGGCTGGGGTGGAGGCACAGTCCAGCCCCAGCCCTAGGCCTTTGTTGGCTCAGGCAAAGGCCAGGGCCTCCAGAGTTGGCTGTGGATGATGTGTAGTGGGGGCTCATGATTTGAGCAAGTTATCCCATAGCTGGGGGCTCTCCCTTGGAGCCCCAGCAAGAAAAGGCAGGCAGATCCAATGTCAGACCCATTGCTTGTCTGAACCTCACTTTCCTAAGTTGTGAAATGGGGACAAAGACAGCCAAGGTCTAGGAGGGTGTGTGACTTCAGAGGGGCCTCCAGGGAGCCAGATATTGTGCATCATACCAGACATTTGAGGGTATAGCATGCGCCAGGGGAGAGGCCGACAGAGTCATCTCCCTCTCAGACTCATTTGGGGTTGCCTGGACCCCAGGCTTGTAGTTTCACTCCCCTTCCTACAGTCTCCTGTTCCTGTTCTCAACCACAGAAAGAATCAGAATAGGGTGGGGCCCTCCCCTCAATCTCGCACAGGTAAGAAACTGAGGCTTGGAGGGGGAGTGGCTTGCTCAAGGTCACACAAACCAAGGTGCCAGAAATAAGTTCCAGACCGAAGCATTTTCTGAAGCATTTCTTGGGGTGTGATGTCTGTGCTCCCCGGAGGATGCTGAAGAAGTTCAGGTCAAAAGTCACACCTCAGGGAGGCAAACCGCTCCACCTCTACACACAGATCATTTTTTCCATTCCATTTTCTTCTTGCGGGAAACTATACATATATTTTTATCATTATAAGGAAACTTCAGCAATAGTTACTGAGGTTTTCTTACCCAGCCTCTGCAAAAAAAAAAAAAAAAAAAGGCACCAGGCCTTTCCCAACATCCTTTGGTCTGAGTTTCACAGTAATGGCAGAAGATTGGAGACCATTATTGCCATACCAAAGTGGAGAAGGTCCGAGGTCATACGGTTGGAACTGGGGATTCCAGATCTGTGCTTTGCAAAGCCCTCGCCTTCCCTTCCACCTGCTGCCTTCTTCAGAAGGCCTGCGAGTTGAAGACCCTTCTGACCCCCACAGCTCCCCTCCTGTGTGGTACCTGGGCTTCGTGAGGGGATGCAGAACACAAGTTCCGGGCTCCTATCAGGCTTGGCCCTGGATTCTTGGGGACCAAATGAACAGGAAGAGCTACAGAGAGTTTGAATTCCAGTGGAACAGGGCAGGAAGGGCCTGCAAACCTCCATCACAGTGTTGGTTAATATTCTCAATGTTTGCAAGGGATGGGGGAAGGTGGAGAGAAGAATGTGCCTCCCCTTGTTTCTAGAATTACTAAATTCTTGTTAGATCTTTAAATTTTATGTAAATTCTTCTTTTTTTCCTTGGGAGGGTGGGTATCATGTTTTAATTAGCAATGGTGTCAAAGGAGAGCTAGATTAATTATTGGAAATCCTGAGTTCCAGATGGTTTTAATTTTCACAGCAGGGCACCAGGGTATATATTTTTAAATTTTTTTTATTAAAATCATACCTAGTGTATTTTAGGGGCACTGAGGTACACTCTTTGTGGCTCCAAGGATACTGTATTTAAGGCTATGATTTTAGTTATGGAGAAGCAAGTCCCTTGTCACCAAAATTAAAATTTTGAGGGTAAGGGAGGGGCAGGTGCTAGGAAGTAAAGGGTCAGGGGAGGGAGGGTGAGAAGGCTGGGGGGAGAGCAGCTGGAGGCGGGAGGCAGGGGTGGGGGACCAGGCACAGGGAATCAAGACCAGAGGAGAGAGATTCAGGGAGGGCACGTGGCTTACCAGAGTCACACATCACTCTACTTGGTAGAAAATGTGGACTGGCAGAGGGATGGGCAAGAGTGGACACAGCCATGTCTGGTCAAGGGACAGTCATCCTATGACCACTTGATGTCCTTGTTTAGTCATGGCTTTGGGGTTCAGCTCCCGTCCCCATACCAAGGGAGGTTCCCTGGAGCATGGGCACTTTACCATGGCATTTTCACTTGCACTAGGGTGAATCAGGTCCTGACTGGGACTCCTGGGACTGATCTTAGGCCTTATTGGCCTGGACTGAGGAAAGTAGACTATTCTGAAGTAGCCTCCCTCCCCAAACCCTTCCATGCTTTAAGTGGCCAGAGCAAAGGGGCTGAGGGAGGGGACACTAGCAGAGTTCCAGATATTTCCCTGGAGGAAGGGATCGCTGATCAAAATTTTGGAGAAAGTAGCTTGCGCCCCCAAGGCAGGGTATGTACATGCCTGCATGCCTGTGAGTATGGTGAGCATGAGCGACTTCCAGAGCCTGCTGCTTCTCTGGGGTATTTATATGGGAAGCTTTTCTGGTTTGGGTGTGAAGTTGAGTGCTGTGGAGGGTGGGCGGTTGTGGGGAGTAGCTGGTCTTCAGCTACTGGGGTTCCAAATGCAGCTAAAAGAGACTGGGGGTGGGGAACAGGTGAAGACAACTTCTATCTCCCTGACAGAGCTGGGGGCTCCCCCATGATGGATGTGGGGGAGTGTGAGGGATGACGGGAGCAGGGTCAGAGATCATGTCACTGAGCCTTTAGCCCATGCCATTGCCCTTGGTAAAATAATGTGTCTTATTCTGTCTTTCGAAGCCCAGCTCCTAGTGGAGACAGACACTTTCGGTAGTCAAGTCCGGATCAAGGGCAAGGAAACGGAATTCTACCTGTGTATGAACCGGAAAGGCAAGCTTGTGGGCAAGGTGAGTGATGGTCTGGAATTGCACTGGGGGCCTTGGGTGGGCTCCCTTGGTCATTTTGGGTAGCTGGAAGGGTGCAGACTGACTCTGGGGAGCATGCAGGGCCCTGGTATTTCCTGGTGAATGTGTAGCTCTGGCTTGCTCAGTAATGGGAGCACATGAAGGGATCTGGGCTCCCAGCTTGTGTGATCCTCATGTAGGAAATAGGGATCCGGCAGGCCAGGGGCTGGGCTGCAGCACGGTTTCAACAATCACTAGGGGTTTACAGTGCTGAGCAGCAGTGCCTCTGGAACCCGGCGCCTCGTCAGCGCTGGGCCTCACGGTTCTAGCATTTCAAGAAGATTTTATTACTTTGGAACAGGCAAGAGAGCTGCGTGTAACAAATTAGGGCAAGGGTGGGGGTGCAGATGGGGTGGGCCCACATGCCAGGGGCTCTGATCTCCACCAATGCTGGTGGAGTGCCCCCCTTTTTTCGAGGGGGGGTGCTTGCTTGTTAAGTTGCCATGTAGCTTCCTCTGAGTGTTCAAATGGAAGATTTGACTGGCGGCTCCTCTATGGTGGAGTCATACTCTGTATTTCCTTTTCTCTGTAGGGAGGGACCCTGCTCACATCCATATCCAACTAACATAATGGGGGGTTACTACTGGAACAGGTGGCATGGAGGGCAGATGCCACACCTGATTCCAAAGTGCTGGGCTTCTGCTTGGGGGCAAGGCGTGGCTGGTTTGGTGACTCTTTTTGTTAGACGGCAGGGAGGCAGGTCATCTTTTTGATTCCTTAAATCCCCTCTTATTCCCCTTCCCCAATACCATGCCAGGGTTCTGAGTCATGGTCCAGTAACTCAAGAACCATTTGGTAATAACAGTCATCAGGATAGCCTGTTAACGGAGCACCTGCTTCTGCCAGGCGGTGAGCCAAAATACCCACGGGCCTCGCCATGAGGTTGGTAGTGGCCTTCCCATTTCACAGATGAGAAAACTGAGGCTGGACCACGTCACCAGGGGCACTTGTCCCAGATCCTACGCTACAGCTAGGCGGAATTCAGAGCCCATTTGGGAAGGGAAAGATTCCAGCCGCACTGCCCACACCAAATGAAGCTTCTCCACCAGCAAAATAATAGTAATCGGCTGAGCGCGGCTCTGGGATGCCGAGGACTGGTTTTAATTAGTGATTCACTTTCCGCGGTGCTGAGGCAGCCGGCGAGGGGGTCTGGGGCAGGGGGCGGGCCGGTGCCGGTACTCTGGCCTGGCGGTGCGTTTCCTGTGGCGGGTGCGGCCCAGCCCCGCGTCAAGCGCTTTGTTCTCCTGCCCGCCTGGGCCGCCTCCCAGGCCCAACCTGCTTGGAGCTGTCGGCTGCGCTGGCTCCTTATTTTTCCTGTTGAAGGAGGGGCGCGCAGCAGTCTGCGGTGCCCGGTGCCGGGGCGCCCCTCCCTCCCCGTCTGCGCGGTTCCCGGCATCTTGACCCCAGGAGGGCCGATCTGGGGTCAAAAGAGCATCCCGGTCCCCTCGGGCCGCTCCCGCCGCCGGCTGCCCTCCGCCTGCCCGCCGGCTGGCCGCTGAGTCACCGCTTCCACAGGAGCCGGCTCCGATTTCCTGCCCCCTAGCCCTCTCTCCCGTCATTAATATTGGGGACTGTTCAGCTGGCGCAAGGCTCGCAAGGTTCGGCTCAGCCCAGGGAGGCCCCGCGGCGACTCCCCGCCTTTATCTCCTTTCTGACTGATGTCTAGGGGGTCTTGGGGGGAACGGTAAGGATGCCCCCTTCCTCCCAAATACACCTGTCCCAATTTTGCTCCGCGGGCGAGTGTCTAGCTGGCTTCTACGGAGCCAACAAGCCCATTCTCTGTGGCTCCTACATCAGCCCTGGGTCCAGCCCCGCTGTTCTATCACCCCTCCCTGCCCAGTCATGCCCTGAGCCCTGGGTTAGACCCCTGGACTCTGGTGTGGTCATCTCCTTCCACAACTCCTGCCATTATCTGGTCTGGCTTCTGGTCCTTCCCTGGCTGCCCACCTTCAGCTTTATAAAGCACAAAAGGCCTCAGATCTTCCCGGCTGGCTCCCCCAACCTAGTTCAAAACCCACCCATGAGACCTCACCACCTACCAGAGAACGACTTATTCCTTGCAGGCAGCCTCCCTGGCCTCCTGGCCCGGTCACCTGCCCGCATGCTCCCGTGCTGCCTGCCTTCACGCTCCCGTGTCACCTGCTTTTATGCTCCTGTGTGACCTGCCTTCATGTCCCCGTGTCACCTGCCCTCACACTCCCATGTCACCTGCCTTCATGCTCCCGTGTCACCTGTCCTCATGCTCCCATGCCACCTGCCTTCAGGCTCCCATGTCACCTGCTTTTATGCTCCCGTGTCACCTGCCCTCATGCTCCTGTGCCACCTGCTTTTATGCTCCCGTGTGACCTGCCTTCATGTTCCCGTGTCACCTGCCCTCACAATCCTGTGTCACCTGCCCTCACGCTCCCGTGCCACCTGCCCTCACGCTCCCGTGTCACCTGCTTTTATGCTGCTGTGTGACCTGCCTTCATGTCCCCGTGTCACCTGCCCTCACACTCCCATGTCACCTGCCTTCATGCTCCCGTGTCACCTGTCCTCACGCTCCCATGCCACCTGCCTTCACGCTCCCATGTCACCTGCTTTTATGCTCCCGTGTCACCTGCCCTCATGCTCCTGTGCCACCTGCTTTTATGCTTCTGTGTGACCTGCCTTCATGTTCCCGTGTCACCTGCCCTCACACTCCCGTGCCACTTGCCCTCATGCTCCCGTGTCACCTGCCTTCACGCTCCTGTATCACCTGCTTTTATGCTCCCGTGTCACCTGCCTTAACATTCCCGTCGCCTGCCTTCACACGCCGTGTCATCTGTTTTTATGTTCTCGGGTCACCTGCCTTCACGTTCCTGTGTCACCTGCATTTATGCTACCATGTCACTTGCTTTCACGCTTCTGTGTCACCTGTCTTCATGCTCCCGTGTCACCTGACTTCACACTCTCCTGGCCTAGACACATGCCCCTGATGAACACCACCCCCTTGATGGGGCCTTTAGACTTTGTATGTGCTGCTCCTTCTGCTGGGTCTTCCTTTTCTTCATCACCTGCAACAGCCTCTGGCTTCCTTGACTCCAGACCCCACAGCCCCTCACACAGTCTGGGGTTGCTGGTCTGTCAGTATCTGTCTTCATGCCTTAGGCCATCCCCCCCAGACTGGGAGCTCTTTGAGACCTCACTCTGGATCTGGCTATCTTTGCATCAGGGACCTGCAGGGGCATCAAAGAAACAGAGATCTGCTTTTTGTTGATTCACTGCAAGAGTGACTTAACCCACAATCAGAATTCTCCACAGATTCAAAGTTCCTGGCCTCGCTGTCTCAATGTCCTCATCTGTATAATGAAATGATAATGCTGGCACAATTAATAGCCACTTGTTAAAATTTAGTTTCTGTTTCCCTCAAGATGCCAGTTCCAGAGTCACTCATTCACTGGTGGAAGCCCTTGGCCTCACTAAGGGTCTGCCTCTCGGGAGTGGTTCAATAGGGCAACTTTTTTGGGCTGTCCTGACCCTGGATGCCAACCGTGCACATCCGTGGTGCCAGCTGGGCTTAGGCATTGAATCCCCAAGATCTAGAGGCTTCAGAACCTGGCAGTAGCTGCTCCCTTAAATGCACTGTGCCCACCATATACCCAGACTGCCCCGAGCTAGCCCTCCCTCGCCACCTCCCTGGCCCCACATTCATCTGTCCCAGCAAGTAATACTTTCTTTCACCCAGTAAGTAGGTGTGGACAGTTTCTCCCCATGTCTGGAGATTCAGCTCAGATCATTCATATGTCTTTCATGGGGCAGTATTGGGCCTCAGATGCTTTCAGGGCTGGGGTCCCCTCCTGTCAGCACATCTTTGCTGCAAAGACTGCTTCGGTTGTTAGTGTCTGACACCCTACTCAAAATGCCTTGAACAAAAAGAAGAAATTATTTTGACTTTCGAAAACAAACAAACAGACAATCGGGGTGGTTCTAGTTTTGAGTAAGATTGGGTGGAGGGGCAAAATGATAGCATCTTGATTCAGTCTTCCGCACAAATAGCAGGAATAGGACTCCAGTTTGGAAAGAAGGAGGTTGGAGGTGGTAGTGGAGGAGAGATGATCAAATTCTACTAAATCACCAAGCTTCTGGGATGGCATATTCCCTTACTCTCTAAATACCCATGCTTTGCCCTGTCTGAATGAATTGAGTCAGCGTTTTTGGGGGAGAGGGAGGCGCAGCACAGGTGTATTTTGAAATCTCTGCAGGTCTTAAGCAGAGTTGCAGTGGTCATCAGGAACAGAGGTGAGGGTCAAGTCCAAGTGCTTAGCTACTTGTCTGGTTTGTGGTAGGGAACTTGTAACCATCACAGACCTCATAGCTTCTGCCAAGGGGCCTTGAGTTCTGTGATGTTGGAAATTTCAGCCCCCAGGCCAGCTCTTCAACCCTTGTAAATAAACCCAGACGTGTCTGAGCACATATGCCAGGCATTGTCCAAACCCTTTGCATTTCTAAACCCTCTCTAAGTGCCAGTGGCAGCTCTGAGGGCCCCGGGGAGGGGTGGTATGCTCATGGACGGTGACCACACTGCCACATCCTCTGTCCTCATGGATCTGTCTGGAACTGAGGGCAAGTAAGCTGCAGGGGCAAGTCCAGGCTAAATCCTGACTTGGCCACTTAAACCTCCACAACCTTGGTAAACCTTTTTGCCTCTTTAATCTCAGTTTTCTTCCACCAGATAGTGTCTCTCTCAAGGACTTAAGAGGATTAAATGAAATATCGGATGTGGAAATGTCTGGTCAGTAGTTGGCAATCCCTGAATGGATAAGTAGGAAGAATAAGCAGACAGAGAGCTCCACACAGTGCTTGCTGTCTTCCTCAGCTTCCCGCTCCTCTCCAGGAGGAGCCTTTTATCACTTGTGACTATCTTTGGAATAGTAAGAGATCTGGGAGGCAGAGTCCCATTTTCTTTTAGAGGACAACCCTTTCATGTGTCCAACCGACCCCCCCCCCACCTCCCAGCAGAACTCTTTTCCATTCAACCACAAATGCTTTGGGCACCCGCGTCTTTGGTTAAGACCTGTGTGGAGTCATGAGAGCAACTGAAAAGCAGTCCTGGCCTCATGAGTTCTTGGACCAGTGTTGACGGAGGCAGATATGGGATTGCTGTGCTGGGGCTGTGTGGGAGGAATAATGGATGCCGAGGGGTTCAGAAGATGGAGTTTGTTAGTCCAGTCAAACTTGACGCTTGAATGGAGTCTTGAAGAAAGAGGAGGAGGAAACCTGGGAGATAAATGGCAGTCAGGGAGGCTCCCTCGGAGAGGTGCTTATTGAGCCAGCCTGGAAGGATGAAAATAGTTTTCCAGGCAGACGGGCATGTGTTCTCCTGTAGGGAAACAGCATGATGTAGCCTTTGTTCAGTTTGCTCTGACTGTTCCAGTAAGACTACCCAAGGGGCCTAGACTCAGGCAACTCCAGAATTATCTATGGGAGTCCTCAAGACCGTTCGCTTCTATGCCCCCTTGAACCCAAACCCTGACTTCCCTCATTGAGAAGAGTCCCACATTGTTTACCTCACCCATACCATCTCTGGGTTCCAAGTATGTCCTCCAGGTCCTATCCCTGTCTATTCTACGCCCTCCTCGAAAGAAAGGCCGTCCTCCAGACAGTGTTTTCTTACCCTGCCTGTCCCTTTCTGCAGAGTTCAGCACTTTGTCTGCAGCGCCCAAGCTTGCCCTCTGCTCAAAGGTGAATGTTCCTGGAAGCCCTAACCCGTTTTCCACTTCAAACAAAAGGCTGGAACTCACACCTCAGCCTCTCTGTGCAGCCAGACCGCTGGGCTTCCAACTTGGCCGGGCATCCGACCGTAACGAGGAGTGGGCCCGGCCTAAATTTGGAGATGTTTTTTGGAAATTCGAGTGCTGCTAATTCAGGCCTTCCAGCTTTTTGTGTTTCCCACTCTTCCACATGGAGTGATTCGACTGTCTCAGGGAGAAGGGTCAAGGTCAAATCAACCATCGCTGGTCCAGATCAGGTCCTAGGAGGGAGGCTGGCCTTGCCTCAACCACCTGCGCTTCAGGTGTAATGTAGCAGGTTCCTACTGTGTGCCAGGCTCATTAATAAGCATCATTCCTCACATCTCTGTGACATGAGGGTCATTGTCCTCACATTGTAGACAAGGAATTGGAGGTTTAGAGAGTGGAACCACCTAGCCTGAGGTTACACAAGGAAATATGAGAATCGATTCTGTTCTGAATCAAGGCCTTCTAGCTTGGCATAGACTCCCAGGGAGCTCACATATCTGCTTGGGAACCTAACATCTCAGAATCAAGGGCACAGTCTTCTGAGTTTGGCTGTGTGAAATCTTTTCTTTCACAACCCCTCTTCATAGCAAACATTAAAAGGCATCACATCCTGCATTAAGTGTCATTTATATTTAACTATACAACAGTGGAATTAAGGGGTGATTGAGTTGCTGAGTTGGGTGGTTCATGTCCGATTTTGTGCACATGGGTGGAGATTCCATTCTGTCAAGGTGATAGAATACAGTCTCAACTGGATTAAGGGGAATGGGTAGTAGTGGCCCTTATAACAGTGAGGTAGTGAGCTTCAGATGCTGCTTGGTCCAGTCCCTGAAGGACCAGGACTTGGTTTCTGTCATTCTCTTACACTTGGGTTTGTTTCCCCTGTGCTGACTTTGGTGTCAGACAGGATTTCCTCCCATAGTGGTAAAATGGCTGCCTTTCCTTCAGCCTTACATATTTTTCAAGTTTAACTTGGCCTATGTTTTGGGGGTTGCTTTTACAAGCGTCTCAAGAAGCACTCTGATTGAACGGTTCTGGCCATATTTCTAGTCCTGTAGCAATCACAGGAAATAATGTTTTATGGGCCAGTTCTGGGTCTCTAGGTCTAGATGTCCCTCTTTATGGAGGGACGGATTCCTGAATGATTGTTGGAGTCTGTTATGTATTGTGAGGTGGGAAAGTATACAGGGGTCAACAGCACAAGAGTATTTCTCAGATCCAGGAAGTGAAACTGCTGAGGTCAAAGCCTAGGTCAGGTGCTGCTTCCACCTTGACCAACTGCCCTGCCCTCTCCACAGAGCTCTGCTCTTGCACCTGCTTGTCTCCTTCTCACCTCCTTCTCCTGTTTCTCCCTGCAGCCCGATGGGACCAGCAAGGAGTGTGTGTTCATTGAGAAGGTCCTGGAGAACAACTACACAGCCTTAATGTCGGCCAAGTACTCTGGCTGGTATGTGGGCTTCACCAAGAAGGGGCGGCCACGGAAGGGCCCCAAGACCCGGGAGAACCAGCAGGATGTGCACTTCATGAAGCGGTACCCCAAGGGGCAGGCAGAGTTGCAGAAGCCCTTCAAGTACACCACAGTGACCAAGAGGTCTCGGCGGATCCGCCCCACACACCCAGGCTAGGCTGCGGCCCTGCGTGGCCTCCAGGCCACCTGGCCCACACTCACACTCACAGAGAACTGCATCAGAGGAATATTTTTACATGAAAAATAAGGAAGAAGCTCTATTTTTGTACATTGTGTTTAAAAGAAGACAAAAACTGAACTAAAACTCTTGGGGGAGGGGAGGCAATAAGGATTTTTTGGTTGACTTGTAACCCCTATGACGAAAGACTCACGCAAAGGGACTGTTGTCAACACACAGGTGCTTGTCTCTCTAGGAACAGACAACTCTAAACTCGTCCCCAGAGGAGGACTTGAATGAGGAAAACGACACTCTGAGAAACCAAAGTCCTTTTTCCCAAAGGTTCAGAAAGTTAAAAAAAAAAAAAGGCAAAAGGAAAAAAAAAAGAGAAAAACAAAGAGAAAGTAGTGACACCCCCTCACTCCCCCCACAAACTCTCTCTCTTCCCCTATCCCCATCCTTGCCCCAAAGTCCAACAAAAATCGCTGTCTGGTTTGCAGTCATTTATTTATTGTCCACTGCAAGCTGTCCCGAGACACCGCGCAGGGAAGGCATGCGCCTCGACTTCCGACGACAGACGGCCTTGTCCACTCTCGATGACCCTGCATTGCTCACAGTTCTGAGGATGCTGCTATGGACCTTCCGTGACTCATGTGACCTAGTACACCAATGATAAGGGAATATTTTAAAACCAGCTATATTATATATATTATATATATATAAGCTATTTATTTCACCTCTCTGTATATTGCAGTTTCATGAACCAAGTATTACTGCCTCAACAATTAAAAACAATTGACAAATTATTTAAAAAACCATGAGGTGAGTGGTGACGAGGGGGCAGGACTCAGGGAGGGCGGCCCCTTTGTGTTTTATTCTCTTTGGTCTGTGGTCTCAGCTCGCGCCTTCCTGCTCTTGTCGACACACTCAACGCCTTCCTGCTCTTGTTGACACACTCAACATGCAGGCGTGTTCTGGGCACTGAGGATGCAGCCTTAAACAAAGCAGAAGGAAATCTCTGCCTACAGACAGGTTACAGTTGACTCTTGAACAAGGCACAGGTTAAAGGCGTTGGCCTCCAATGCTATTCTTGAAAATACACCTGCAAGTTATAGTCTGCCCTCGAATTCTTGGGCTCTGTATTGACTAATTCACCAAAACCAATGTCCACGGTTGATTGAATCCACAAATACAGAACTGGGTATAGAAAAAAAACAAACCATGTCTTAAAGTGCACCTACTCAGTTTAAATGACCTCTGTCATTTAAAAGTCAGCAGTACATTCCAATGAGTCTTTGAATACCTTCATATCCATTTACTCAGCATCTCCTATATGTCAAGTGGTTATTCTAGGCATTGGGGATTTATTAAAGAATATAAGAGAGAGAAATCCCAGCCCACGGGAAATGGAATTCAGTGATACAACAATTCAGTGATACATTGCTCCATGAATTTTTTGGTGGCATCACTTATTCCACATATTTAGTAAGCACTTATTATGTGCCAGGCAGTCTTTTTGGTATTTGGAATTCATCAAAGAGCAAAACAGACAAAAAATGATGCTTTGTGGTGCCTACATTCTGGGATATGGCTTACACCTGCAACGGAGCCCACCTCAGGGATTTTCCAGGCTTGAGCTGAACAAACAGGGTAGTCCCCAGTGGCCTTCTGTCTGGTGGGGGAGGTCCCATGGGACCTGGTGCTTCCCTCTTGGACTACCATGGAGCATGGGGAGCTGGCACCCTAAACTTCCAAGGCCTTTCTTCTAGGTCTTCTACCGAAGGCTGGCTTCACGTGTGAGGGGCTGCTGGGTTACCCTTGGGGTGGGAAGGAGAGTGAGGAGAGGGGCTTGGCTTCTGAGCTGTGTGTGCCATCTGCCGCCAGCCTCTGAGCTCCGCCAACCTCCTACTTCTAGCAGGACCCAATTCCTGCTGGCCCTTTCCCCCTGCACTGTGAGCCATAGTCTTTTTCTTCCTGGGCCCTGTACTCTGCCTGTGCATCTACCACATGGCCCCGTGTGGGACATGGTATTGTTGACTGCCACGTTTGAATGAGGCCGAGCAGGATCGTCACTGCCCATGGCATCGAGAGCAGGTGACTGAGTCTGAGACCCTTGGTGATGATAATCCTGATAGAAGCTGTTTTTTATGGAGCATTTATTATGTGCCAGTTTCATTTAATCAATGACCCTGTAAACAGGTGTGTTCTTCTAGTAAGGATTTCAGAGAAGTGAAATGACCTACCCAAAGCAATTCAAGTTACAAACCATGGCATCCAACCATCATTCATTCATTCATTCATTCACCTAATAAACATGTGCTGTGTTTACTCAGTGCCAGATGCTATTCCAGGAGCTGGAGACACAGTATAGTTCCTATCCTCATGGAGCTTACACTTCATTGGGGAAGATCAGCCAAAAACCAAATAGATATCACATATATCAGATACTGGTCAACCATAAGGCAAAATAACATAGGGTGAGGGGCGAGAGGGCGATAGGGCTGCTGCTTTAGACAGGGAAGTCAGGGAAGGTCTCTGGGGGGGCAGCTCATACAAACACCAAAGGGAAGAGCATTCCTGGTAGGGGGAACAGAGTGCTAAGACCTGGAGGATGGAATAAGGAGCTGGCCAGTGGGGTTGGGCAGAGTGTGTGTAGGGGAGGGGTGGAGGCATGGAGGGTGAGCTTTTCTTCAGACTGAGATGCACCATCCTCTGAGTGGGCTGTTCTGGCTGCTGCACAGAGAGGTCGGGAGGATTGCAGGCAGGGGCTGTTGGAGACCACCACCTGGGCTGACACGGTGACCTGGGAGACAGATGTGGCTCTGCATGCCCCTCTTGGGTCTCCAGCACCTTCTGTACCCAGCACCTTGCCTGTGGGCCATTCTAGAGAGCAATGGGCTAGTGGTTATAACCTTTTTTTGTCCCTCTGCGAACTCTGCCTCTGGAAACCTCTGTTTAGGTAGCGTCTCACAGTTCTGAGTTCTAAGAAATATGTTAATGGTAAGTACAGCTGACTGGCATAAGTTTCCCAGTCACAGATGATATTGCCTTAGGATGCTCACTGAATGAATATGTCCACTGTCTAGTTGCACAGGGACCCCCCCAGTAAGAATAGCCACGGCATTTGAGGCACTTGACTATGACTTAAGCATGAACTTATTGAAACTACCCAACCAACATTTGGGGTCGGCATTTTTTTTATTAATACAATAGTTTATTTATTTTTTAATTACAATACAATAGTTTATTTTTACATCACTTTGTGCCTTTTTCCATCGCAGTTGTAATCCCCGTGGGCTTCCCATCACCAAATCACCCATGTGCCATCACCATAGTCCAGTGCACTTCCCCTGGGGTGGGCATTTTTATCCTCACTTTATGGAGCAGGTCCAGAGAAGCAAGTCACTTCCCTGAGGTCACACAGTTAGTAAATAGAGGAGCTGGAACTGAAGCCCCAGATCTATCTAGAGTTGCATCTTAACCCAAGTCTGGATGCTTGGAGCTCTCCCATGTGTCCAGGGGTTTCAGTCTTTCCCCTCATTTACCCTGATATGGCTTTGGTGACCATCATCACCCAGCCTACCAGGAGGAGGCAGATAGAGACTGTATTCCCAGGTGCCTCATGATGGCCTTTTCCTGACCCTCTGAGCCCTCTCTCATGTCAGTGGCACAGAGGACGCGGAGATCTGGGACTGAAGGCATGAGTATTTTTAGCTTAGTCACTTTGCCAGCGTGTTGACCTTGGGGTGTCATACCTTCTATGAGCAGTATCCCTCATCGACCAGTTGTTTTTACACTGTGTGGGAAATGTGATGTTCAGAAGAGATAACAGAGCGACTAGCTGGGGATTATCTTGCCCAGTAATTGCTGGAAGGGATCCATGTAGGTGTTCCATCCTCTCGACCTCTCTCCTCCTCTTCAAAATCATCACAGAGAGGAAGCAACAGAAATACCCAGGTAGGAAAGGAATTTGCTGCAGGGCACCCAGTGAGTTAATAATAGAGCCTGCTACAGCCAGGGACTGGTGGTGATCAGAACAAAAAAAAAAACGATGGCCGCCTGTGGCAAAAGGCAGTGCCCCAGGGTTCTAGTGAGGTCAAGGGTCAGGGAGTCCCTTCAGTGGCTGTAAAATTCCCTCCTAACATCCTCCTCAAATATGCTTCTCTGACCCAAAGAAACAAAAGGCAGAGTGGAGAGAGCTGAGGCCTCTAGGACCTAGATCTTTGCACTCTGCCCTCCAACTCCAAGATGGTGCCACACGACCAAGTGTTAGAAGTGAGAACACATGGACTTTACTGAACATTTCAAGGGCCAGGAGGCAAGAGCAGAGGCACTGGCTGCACTAGGGAGAGAAGTGGGCTTGGGGGTGCAGGTGCACATTTCCCTACTGTCCTCTCCTTGCACATTGCTTGCATTCGATCTCCTCCCTGGATGCTCCCTTACCCCAATCCCTGGAGTAGAGGAGACAAGTGACATTTATTCAGCACCGCCTCTAGACCCTCCCTCTAATCATTTTGTGTGCACACAGCAGCTCAGAGTGGTTCCTGCTGCAAAGTGAGCTCTTGGGGGCTTAGCTCTCACCATGACCTCATTTGATTGTTACAAGAACCTGGCAAGTTGATGTTAAGAGGGCCACTTTGTAGATGGGGAAACTGAGGCCCATAGGAGAATGCGATTGACTTTTGGTCCTCTGGTAGAAGCAACAACTGAATGGGAACCCAGGCCTCCCTGTTCCCATTTCCATCTTACCCTCTCCGTTGCTGACGTTGTTGGGGGTAAAACTTGGGCAAGAGAAGTGAGTGCTCCTCCTGGGTGTGGGGAGGACGTGTCAACCAGGAGAGGTTGTGTCTGGGGTGCTCCTGACAGCCAGATGAGCGTGGGTGAAGGGAGGTAGAGCCCCAGGCTGAGAGCAGGAAGTGAGGGTGATACCTTCCTGGCTGCTTGCCCAGCTGGAGCCTAACAAGGCCAGGCTGCGATGCCCGGGGCTTCAAAGCCCCATAAACAGGCAGAGTTCCCCCTCCTTAGCAGCGGCAGAATTGGGACTTCCAAAGAAACAATAGTGAATTAGGTGCTAAAGATGTGGGGCCTGCTCCCCAACCATGCAATTAGGTAGCAGGTCTGTTACAAACATTAGGGGGGATGTTGGGGGACCAGATGGCGGTGAGGCTCACCCTGGGCCAGTCCGGTCCCAGAACCGCCTGGCCTCCTGCCTGAGGTTTGCAGATCTGGCGAGGAGGGAAGGCCGGCAGGTAGCCCTGGTCTGTGGCCCCCTGCAGAGCAGGCCAGTAATTAATCAGGCATTCCTCTCCTCCCTTGGGTAGCTTCACCGACCTAATTAGCACTTGCTAGAAT